ATCTCCTTGGACGAGGTGGTCATCTTGAAGAGGCTGAAGAAGTTATTAACCAGTTGCCTTTCAGACCTGATGGTGTGATCTGGGCGACATACCTTGCAGGATGCAGAATGCACAATGATGAAGAAAGGGGGAAAGTTGCAGCAAAAAAACTTACCGAGTTGGAACCAGAAAACTCGTCTACATATGTGTTGGTTTCAGGCTTACATGCTGCAGCTGGTAACTGGGGTGAAGCTAAGATAGCCAGAGAAGCAATGCGAGAAAATGGAGTAACAAAATTTCCGGGATGTAGTTGGGTCACAGTAGGGAACAAGACAAGCTTATTTCTTGTACAAGACAAGAAACACCCCGACTCTCTTAGCATCTATGAAAAGCTTGATGATCTTACTGGAATGATGAAGAAAGATGATGACATTGAGGAGTATGATATGCTTATTTCAGCTGAAATGTTTACTTGATGACTCAAAACCCTTTTGAACCAAAATGCTCTGCTTAAGAATGAGGCCCTGATGTCATCTTCTGGCCAATCCAGGACTTGGGTAGATGCTTGGTTACCGAGGTAAAGAATTTGATATGCTTGGTCATATTTATTTGCGATTTTGATTCTGACCACTTTATTTTCTGCAGTTCTAGCATCACTGCATCAGCACAGCTTTAAGGACTATTGGTTTCACCCTGCATTCCGACTCAAGGGAGCCTAATTACCTGTGATGAAAACACTTTGTTCAGGTTCGTTTCTAGTTTATTTCTTTCAGAGAAGTAATTTTCACTATGGTTGTAAGCCTCTGAGGACTCGCAAAATTTCATATCTAGTTGTGGATACCAAGATGGCTTGTGAAGTTACCACGAGGTCTCATTCTTGATGTGGGAAGCGGTACCAGTGAAGATTCAGGGAGCAACTAGAACTCATATATGCTCAGGTGCTTCAGCTTTTGCATTCATTTTAACACATTTGTATTCTGTGAGTTTTTAGTTCTCATTATACAAATTTATTTTATCTGTTCTAATCTTAATTTCCTGTCTAAAAATTTGCAGATGTTGCTTATTTGACGAATTTGATGTGGTGCCACAACTAGGTGGCACAGCTGCAGTTTTCCGATCTCTTATTTATGCATTCAGCTGGTCAGTTTTTTCGTATGAAGCTTGATGTTTATGTTGCTTTGGCAACTTTTGTGCTTTGGAACTTGATGAATGGTATCATTGCACGATGCACAGTGAGCTATAAACTTGATTGAACTTTATTCATGCAAAGTATTTCACTCATGATTATATGTGTTTAATGTAAATCTCTATTGTCCTTAGTCCTGTGTGTTCATGTTATTGACAGATATATATTCTTCGTTCTTTTTCAGGTTATTAGTCTTGTAGGAGCACAAAAGACAACTTTGTATCCTGATCATATTTTTCTACTTCTGAACTCCACACGGTCCTCTGAACCATTTAGGTAACCATGAAGAAATATAATAATACTGTTTTGCACATTCATTTTTTGATGCCTCACTATGACCATTTTTAAGTTGCGCTTTGCAGGATAGTGTGTTCAGTATGTCCGATTGCCAGGATATGCCGAAGGTCTGATTTTGTCCAGTATAAATCGATGGGCAGTTATATGTTGAGTTATATATCTGCCAGTGTTTCAGATGTGATTGTTAATAACCACTCTGCTGTCTTTCTTGTGAACTAACATTTCAGAACTGCCGCATTGGGCTGCATGCCACACTGTACTATTTTGTGTGACATGGATAATGCTACCCTGTTTATAATCTTTATTCGGTTAGATTGCAAAGAAAACTACTTAGCAGCATCCTGCCATGTTTCATCATTTTTATTCATTGTGGGTAGCAGTTACTTATTGGCTCCAGAAAACAAATGAGCATAGCTGGATGGAGCTCCAGCATCTTGAGTTCTTGGTGTTGCACCTGTGAGACTGCAGGTTTGTGACTTGACCGATCTATTTAATATTTTGTTGGAACTTTCCATTAAATAGGTTGCAGCAAATCTTTCCTACATCTGTTGTTATTACAGATATATGTTACTTTCCACAGTAGGCACAGTACTACAATGCACCGATGGCTTTGTGTTCAGTTACACTGTTACAAATCATGATTTAGTTATTATTTCCATAAGTTGTTATGTCCCTCTGTCAATTAGGTTGGAAGCTTAGAGGTTTAGATAATTTCTTAATATTGCATAGGTTCAAACTATTGTGAATACTGTACAAAGCTTCGTTTGCCAACATTCTTTTTATTCTGATCTCATTCAATGATAATTCTCTGATATGCTTTAGGTCATTGTAGACATATAATTTTGCAATGCTGCTTAGCTAGATATGTCATGTGCTTTTTTATAGTTTGTGACTGAAACGGGATATCTTTTCCTAAACAATCATGTGTCGTTCACGTCCTGGGTCTGTTTAACATTCAGTGATTGTTGTAGTATTAGAAAAAAGTCTGTACAGCTCCTTTGTTGCTGCCAGTATCGTTATGTAAATTCAACATTGATGTTGAATGTTATTACTGTACATGATTTACACAAAACCAGTATTCTTATCCCTTCGGGTGTTGCAGGTCCAGACAATCTGATGCCTTTAGAATTGGCTCTCAAATTTTCAACCGAGATTAGAGCTAGTGAATGATTTTCAGTTTATATAGTCATACACATACTCAAGGAGTCCATACCTTGGCCTCTGTGCAAGATATTCTTACTTTCAGGTAAGCTCCATTCTGTAAAAGCATTATAGCAGCTACTAGAAACTCCGAATATGAGGTTTATTGAGATACCGAAATCCCAGTTTGAGATTCATCGAGATATGGAGGTCTTATTTGACCATGTAATTTCAATCTTATCCCAGTGAATATTGTTGTTTTTCGTTTTTAATACAACATTGCTATACTTATAATGACTTTCCTTTGTTTAGTTCAGCGCCATTCTGTTCTTGTATTTGTTTTGGTAAAAAAAACTCTCACTATCAAATGTATGATGTAAATCCTTTTTGCTCGGCAGTAGTAAATTTCATAGAGCCGATGTAATATATAATGTGATTATTGCTCTAAAAGTTGCAAATGCGTAATGCTGATTGTACTTGAAAGATGACTAATTGATTATCCATACATGCCTACCATATTATAAACAAACCTTCCGACTTGCCCCTTCTGTAGGGATGCATGCTGACATGTCCTCATCGTTTCTAGCTGGTTTTAGTGCATCTTTTGTCCTGCTTCAGCTAGTTACCCTGAATCCTCTTTTCTCCTGTTCCAGCTGATTAGCAGCCACTATTGTTCAGGAATTTTGAGTGGCGCACGTCCTGGCCTGGCGAGCCGATGACCGGGCAGAACCGCAATCACCGTCGCCGCCATACTTTTGTGTACTGCTTGGTTCATTGCACGCGGCCTGTACAAATTGCTTTGTTAGTTATTTGCGTGAGCCTCAGCCCCTTTAGTGTGTCAAGGACAAAGCAAAAGAAGAGGGGAGTGGCTAGCCAGATTGCCCACAACTCAGCTCATCAGGTGCATCCATACAATGTCGAGCTGGACATCATTTGTCAAGGTTTGTGCACATTGAAAATTCTTGCTGTGGACAGGAATGATGTTCATGGCAAACTGATGTAGCTTCTTATATATGTACCATATTAGGTTGATCCATCTGAATTAAGTTAATCTAATAAAATTATTTATTCAACCCAAGCTCGGCAATGCTACTAATTTGAATGCTAAAATTATCCAGGTAACTATAGTTAGTGGATAAGCAGGTCCCTTTAAAAAGAATGTTGGGTTTTCTTATTAGCTTTTGGCAGTTTTGCAATGAGAATGGTTTCACAACGGCAGACTGTTCAGGTTTATAAGGCCATTGTATCCATGAGGATATTTGTTATTCTTATTTTATTTCTGAATATATCTCTTGCCATTTTTGTATGTTACAGAGCACCTCATATTGGTGTAGCTTAGATGCATTTTTCAACATTGGTCATCTAAATTTAATGAATGAGATCATTTACCTTTTGGCCCCAGGGACGAGATCGACGGGCAGCAGCAGCTCGAGTTCACCTCACAGAACAACCTATATATGATAAGCAAACTAGTCCCTTCATATTTGTGTTAGCTAGTTCATGCACGCCGAAGGTCGCTTGCATCTTTGCTCGGCTCAATGAGTCTTGTTTTTGTCTTGTCTATTTTCTTTTGGAAATGAAAAGGAAGTGAAAAAAAAGGACCCGGTTAGACTCAAAAGTAATATCTGAATTCGGGTTCAAATCGGTCGTGTACGGTGTTCACTAAAACGGGCGTCACTTGGAGTGCGGATTTCCAGCTACCGTTATTTTAGAAACACTCACATAGAGGAGACTTTTTGGTCCATCAAAGACTCGTGTATTTATCCAAAAAAGAAGTTCAAAGACTTGTATGTAGTTGAGTTGGATTCTACTTCTGTATGCAGAAGAAGAAGAAGAAAAAAATCAATGCTTTTGCGATGTAAAAATACGGTATTCGAATAGCGGCCTCCCTACCCTCAAACCCCCATTAGGCATTTTCAGCGTGACTTTTCCATACATACTCTGTTTTGGTAGAATGAGCTCTTTGGTCGCTGTGGCAGGTAAAGTAGGGATGGGTGACAAGTAATTCCGGACGGAAGAAGTATCAATGGTCTTGATTGTCCATAGGCTCCTTTGGTTAGACAGACGTAGGAAGGAGTAGCTTGTCCTGTCGCCAACCCAATCCCTTTATATTTGTTTTTTTAGACAATCCTTTTATATTTGTGGTAGCTAGTCCATGCATGGCACAAGCAAGCGTGGCCATAGATTCAGAGGTTGAGAGAGCATTTGGGCCAGAAATTTTGTTACAAGAAAAGCGGTGTGAGATGGAACACGTCTGTGGAGCAGCCGACAGCGACGTGGAGGAGGAAGAAGATGAACAAGACAGCCGTACAAATGACCCCTTTCTTTTCTTACCAATCCCAGCTGCAGCTCCATCGTTTTACTGCTTGTTACTGCTGGCTACCTCCGTTCCGTGGTCATGGCGGCTTGCCTCTCCCCCACGCTCCCTCGCCAGACCATCCACCGCCGCCGCTGCTGGACCACAAAGCCTCCCTCCTCCCCCTCCACGGCCACCTGCCACCAGCGCCACCACCATCATAAGCTCATCGGAACGCGCTACGGCGCCATCTACGCACGCGCCTCCCCCGCGGACCCTGTCGCCCAGGGCCTCGACGCCGACGATTTCCGCCACCCGCTCGACAAGCAGGTCAGTTCCTAGTTCATACAGTATTTATTTTCTTTTCTTTTCTGTGTGTGTTGTTTGATTTGTTCTTCTCATATGGGTATGTATGCCACTAATCATTTTCTTGTTTTGCAGAACACTTTGCTGCTCAAAGCAATTCCAGGGCTCAACGATATAGGCAAGGCTTTGCTAGGTACTCCGATTCTCTGTTTCCCACCTATCATTTCAGTACCCAAGATGATCTACTTCTAGAAGCTAACACTATTTTGCTGATGCAGGGCCGGTTTCTGAGCAAGTTATGGTTCTTCAAAACATTGGATCATCGGTTCTCGTCTCTGAAAACCAGGTCCCTCTGTCAGAACCGATCATATCTAAATCACCTCATTTATTTTAGTGCACCCGGACTGAACCCATAACCTGTTGTATGCCTTTCAGTTACCTGAACTTCACCAGCTCATGACCGAAGCTGCGAAAATCCTGAACACGGAAGCACCCGACTTTTACATACGGCAAAACCCTGTCCCTAACGCTTACACCTTAGCGATAAATGGGAAAAGGCCGTTCGTCGTCGTCCACACTAGCCTCGTGGAGCTGCTCACTAGAAAGGAATTGCAGGTAACAAGGATCATCCAAATAGGCTGATGAATCACTAACACATACGAGTAGTAACTAGTAACGGCTAGCTACATGCTGAATGTATGCAAATTACTCATGTGGAGTTGTGTGTTTTGGTTAGGCTGTTTTGGCACATGAGCTGGGTCACCTCAAGTGCGATCATGGCGTCTGGCTTACCTTTGCCAACATACTAACAATGGGAGCATATACCGTGCCTGGTAGGCCCTCTATCTTTCTTTCACACAATCTCATGTATTTGTGAGGCTGAATCACTGTGTGTAATGCATCTGATGTAATTACATGTGTGCACTTTCTTCAGGTTTGGGAATGGTTGCCGGGTTCCTTGAAGAACAGCTGTTCAGGTGGCTGCGAGCCGCGGAGCTGACCTGCGACAGGGCGGCTCTTCTCGTAGTACAAGACCCCAAGGTAGTACCATTCAGCAAAGTAGTTATTTTCGTCCTCTATAGTTGATGATAATCTCTGATGAATGTATCTGTTTTAGCATCATGCGATCTGAATCTGATACGCTGGTGTTTACTTTACTGTCAAGAGGTTGTCATCTCAGTCCTGATGAAGCTCGCGGGAGGATGCCCGTCCCTGTCGGACCAGCTGAACGTGGACGCCTTCCTGGAGCAAGCCCGCTCCTACGACAAGGCCTCGTCGAACCCGGTCGGGTGGTACATCCGGTCAGTTCAATTCCGCATGAACCTGTGAGCTTGATAGGCTGCATGTTAACTGACATGGTGAGATTGTTGTGATGATGAACAATGTGATTTGCTTGTGTGTTGCAGGAACGCTCAGACGAGGGAGCTGTCGCACCCTCTGCCCGTGATGCGAGCCCGCGAGATGGACGAGTGGTCGCGGAGCCAAGAGTACAGGACCCTGTTGCAAAAAATGTTTCGGTAGGATGTCGGTCTTGTCTGTCTGTGTACGAATGAAATGAAATACAGTAGAAGATAGCTTTGGAGTGGTGGTGGTGGTGGTACAAAACTAAAGAAGCAGTAGAGCTGAGCAGAGTGTATATATACATCAATACATGCAACTGAAAAGTAGATTGGGTGCAGTAAATGTTTTAAACTTTTCGAATGAGCATTTTATACGGCGCCGCCTATCCATTCTTGTAATCACACACAAGTTGTTCATTTTGAGCCCGGGTAGGAGGGCATTAGGCAAGTGGTTCGGATTTGCGTCTGAAAGTTGTGATGGTGCCGCACTTGCAGAATCCGGGGAGGTGCCGAGCTATTTTGAATTTGGGAGGACCAGCGAGAACATCTCAGCACTACCCGCGTAAAAACAAAATCATCTAGCGACTAGTCCCACCGTGTCGTCGTCGAAAACACTCTTATATTACGGGACCGAGGGAGTGGAAGAAAAGAAGAGAAGGAAAACACCAAGGAAACCGATAAGGTTTCCCCACTTCCATTGATCCAGATCCAGAGAATAGAGACAGACAATAGAGTTATGGGATGACGACGCAGTGCCAACCACCACTAGTGAGTAGTGACTCGGCTGCGGCGGCGTCGAGATGTTTCTTCCGCTTCTTGTTGCCTCCTCCGCCTGTGCATCCACCTCCACCGGCTTCTTCTCCGGCTCCGGCTGCTCCTTCCGAGATGCTTCTCCCGTTCCACACCACCACACTACCAGGGTAGGTAAGACTGTACTAGTATGTATGAGCACTCATTCTCTCCTCCTATCCTACCTCCAATTGAACTAGTAAATCGAAATAATATAGGAATAATTGGCAATTCTGAACTTAATCCAGGGTGTGAGCAAGGCGGGGTTGCGGTGTGGATCGAGTCCCCTCCTCCTGCGCTCCGTATCGACATCTTCTCCGTTTCCTCGTTATTTCCGAGAAGCGGTCACCGGCGGCGGCGGCAACGCCAGAACCGTCGTTGCAGCAGCAGCAGCTGACAGCTCCTACAGCTTATCAACAAACGATATAGTGTGTGCCACCTACAACCCACTCTTCCTGTGATGGATGTATCATGTAGTACTATGTCTGTAACTGTGCAAGTATGTTCTTGTGCAGCGATGCGTGGTCATGGACATCGAGGGCACCACCACCCCCATCTCCTTCGTCGCCGACGTGCTTTTCCCCTACGCATGTGCCAACGCCCGCGCCCACCTCGCCGCCACATACCACACCCAGCAGACCCGGGAAGACATCGCCCTCCTCCGCGCACAAATCGACAAGGACCTGGCCGAGGGGGTCCCCGGCGCCGTCCCACTCCCACAGCCCGACGACACCGACCAAGACAAGACCATCGACGCGCTGGTGGCCAACGTGCAGGCCATGATCGACGCGGACCGGAAGCTCACGGCGCTCAAGCAGCTGCAGGGCCGCGTGTGGCGGCGGGGCTTCGAGAGCGGTGAGATCAAGGGGGAAGTCTACGACGACGTCGTCCAAGCTCTCGCGGAGTGGGACCGCAAAGGGGTTAAGAGCTACTCCCTCCGTTCTAAAATAGATGACTCAACTTTGTACTAACTGTAGTACAAAGTTGGGTCATCTATTTTGGAACGGAGGGAGTACATCTACTCCAGCGGGAGCAGGGAGGCGCAGCGGCTCATCTTCGGCAACACCGCCGCCCACGGCGACCTCCGGCGGTATCTCTCCGCCTTCTTCGACACCAACGTCGGGTACGCGCACGGTAGCAATGTAGATATCATCACTGTACATTCCATTTCATCTGCATTTGAACCCTGATGCCATGGATGCTGAGGTTGCAGAGGCAAGAAAGAGTCTCGCAGTTACTACGAGATCTGGCAGACCCTCGGCGTCGACAGCCCGTCCCAGATACTCTTCCTGACCGATGTCCACCAGGAAGCCACCGCCGCAAGGGATGCAGGTCAGCACCAGCCACACTGATCACATCATCCCCTCCCTCCCTCCTTTTTTTAGTCTCACTCACAAATTCTGTCCTCACAACAGCATGAACTATCTCACTCATAATCTAGTGAACTCTTGTTCTCCAACAATCAATCGTTGAGTTATACTCCCTCCGTCCTAAAATTCTTGTCTTACATTTGTCTAGATACGGATGTATCTAATACTAAAACGTGACTTGATACATCAGTATTTGGACAAATCTAAGACAAGAATTTTGGGACGGAGGGAGTACTACATAACTGAATAAAACACAGCATTTCGCCGAAATAACGTTTCCTTGCGGGGGGCGTTCGAGTAACTTCCACACACACTCACTCAAAAGAACGCAGTAATATATGTTTCAGACACAAGATAAAAAAAAGCAGCACTTCACAAAATGAGCTGCATCGTAAATCCATAGTGCTTGCCTTTCGCATACTCACAGATGGCTTGATTCATCTACTGGTTTTGCAGGTCTTGAGGTGCTAATATCGATCAGGCCTGGAAACGCGCCGCTTCCTGAGGATCACGGCTTCCAGACCATCACGTCGTTTGCTCAAATCGCCACCTGAATGCCACAGCGAGCTCACCCCTGCCATATATGTGCACAAGAGTATTATTTACGAAGGGAACCGACCTCAAAAGTTTTTTTTTTTACCGCGTACACTAGAGCAGTTGACAACTCATTAAGTTGCCAACACAAGAATCCAAATGATTGTTTCAAGACCTTGTGTAAAACCATGACTCGCTATCAGCAGGTTTCCTAAAAGCAGACACATGTGTGTATTTTATCAAAACCTGGTACTGAAATTCGTCCACGAAACATAAGATATTGAGTGATTTTACAAGTGTCTGGTTCAACACCACGCATTAATAAGAGAGTGAGACGAACCTTGGTCTCGTTTTGCATCTACTTCAACCTAACATGGTATCCACTCAAATGCCAAAATTGGCACATGTATTCCTTCAGCCTTGAATGACTGCCATTACACATGTTCAAAAAGGTGAAAGATACAAATAAACTGCAGAATAAGGGCAGCCAAATCAGCAGCACGAGAATTCACTATGTGGCAAAAACATGATATTGAAATCGGCGCTCCCTCACCTCAACCTTGCATTTCAACATCTGTGGATTCAATCTCCATACTGTTTGATTGAACAGAGGCTACCAGATCCTCAATTCTCAGAGGAGCATGCCTGGCAGCATACTGGAACAAAACCTGAACACACAAAATCAACAAGTTAGCTACATGTGGTGGATACAGAAACATTGGTTGAATCAGTGCATGGTCATGTGTCACTTACTTTGGAGTGGCTGTCAGCGGAAGTACGAGAACGGTTCAGCTTCCCGGCAAGTTGCAGCTGACCAATCTCCATCTTCCCATCCACAAGTTTCACACTTTCATCTCTTACACTGAAGCGAAGAAGGTTCCCAGGCCGCAGGTTTGACTGCACAAAAAGCACGATCACATTAGTATGTTTGTGCTTAAAACATATTCAGAAGTGGGATACAGACAGGCGATCACTCTACAGGAAGGCATGTAAAATGAGAAAGAGCATGTGAAGTCCAAAAAAAAAAAAAACAATTTGTCAAACCTAAGTGCATCACCACAGAATTAAGGAACGAGCATGGACATGAACCAGATATTAGTCGCAATCAGCTATAAGATGATGCTCTAAGCCTCTACATGGTAGGCGATGTGGCGGCACATTTTAAGAACTTAAGTTTATTTGCACCAGGACTCAGAGCCTGCATGCTAATTTACTTATATTTTGTGGAAATAAGCTGCATTTCAAAATCGTACCTTCTGGATAAATTCGTTGTCCAAGCTACCAAATGCAATTGGAGGATCATCAGAAGTAACTAGCTTTCCATCCTCTTGCAGCTCCAACACAACCTGATACCAATGGACAAAACAAGGTCAGTAAAACTATTAAGGGATGAAGTGAAGCAGTAGTAGCAGGCACAACAATTATTTTCTTATTTTTAAGAAAAGAGCAATTTATAATGGCTACAACATGAACAGAATAATAGAGAAAAAGAACCTACGTGTTGCTCAGTTGGAACTTGTCCCTCACTATCCGTATCAAGAAGATATTGGCTGCAAGTCTCGTCTTTCCATACTAGCGTAAGGGGTGTGATTCCAGCTTGATAATGTGCATGCCTGATTAGAAAACAAAAATCACCTAAATCAGCAATTCAATGGTGTAAACTGTAAAACGGAGTAAACATATTAATAAAGGTCTGGAAACAGAAGTTACTTGTTATAGAACAGCAAGCCATCTTTAACATAAGGTGTGCTTCCCGAATATGCTGCCTGAAGGCCATCAAGCGTGGACTCATACATAGGAACAGCACTGAATCTATACCGATGGTATGTCGATGGAGGATCGCCAGCAGAAGTCTCCGTAAGCTTGGAGTTCACCCAGAAAAATCTGAACTCAGCAGTGCAATCATAGAGCGAATAGCCTCGCCAACAAATCATATCAACGATGTAGTACGTCTCATCAGGCTGCAGCACAACAGCAACAGAAAGGTTAGAACAGGCCCAAAAGCAAACAAAATCCAGCTGCGAATGACATCAAAATAAAAATTGTTTGCTTGGGTACCTCATGGAATATGCAGTCAAGGATAGAGTAGGAGCTTGCAGGACCAGAGAGTCCTTTCTTGGACCCGTTGGGTAAGGCGGAGGGGAACCGGTGAAGAATGGTTCCGTTACGGAGCCTGCTAATCGTGATGCCGTTCGACGACACGACCATGCATCGTTTGCCAGCGGGTCTGGCAGAAACATGCCTGCATATACAGAAAAAATGTTTAAACAATGTCAATCCTTCTTCATCTGTAATAACTTGACTTGTCAGTGTAATACCAGTGCTATTTCGCAACAGTAGGGTAAAGTAAGCTGTAGTCAACTGTGTTCTAGCTAGAAGAGCACAAAAATAGCTACAGTATGGGTGAGGATGAACTGGCAAGGGCATGCGTATTGCTATCCATAATCAAATAGTCATCTTTGGAGGGAACTAGAGCCAAATCGAATAAGTAGAATCAAGATGAGGGGAGATGGGGAATTACCAGTCGCGGGCGAGGTGGGGAGGGGCGTCGACCATCCACTCCGGGAGCATGATCTGGCGGGCGAACCAGCGGCGCTGGTCGGGGCCGCGGAGCTTGGCTGCGGCCGAGGCGACGTCGGCGACGGTGGGATCATGTCCGCGTT